ATAATGTGATTTTCTAAATGTAATTGATGCTTCTAAATTGCTTACACTTCATTCGCATTGCATAGCGATGGATGCAATGTAGCGGCTGTAAGGGTTGGGGTGAGGTGTGACCCAGGTGCGGTACAGGAGACAGTAGGCAAGGATGGTGAAACAAGGATCTTTACTGGTGGTCCAAAAGCCAGGATACAAAACAACAGACTATACACGAAAACAAATGAGGAGCACATAGGTCTCCAAAAACAGGCTGACAGCAAACAATACGAAATACTAACTCTGACTGGAAAAACACAATGACACAGGGAGAACACTTCTCGAGTACCTGTAACTCCGTCACGTGATCCGACACTGATACGTACTGCTTGACATCAAGGAACTAGCAGAGAAAACTGGGCAAGGGAACATAGGGAAGTGAGGGCATAAATACACAGGTGAATCAGATAGCCACAGGTGACACCAATAGGCAGATAATTAGTCCCGACTGTGAGTGAGGAGGTGCCTATGGTTGTCGGAGGATGACACCTAGTGGGTCGCTCCGGAACTGCGACCCACACCTGTAACAAGCGTCGGTAGCATATCAGAAGAGTTGGAAGCGTAGCCTAATGGGGGACGTGACTTTCACTTTGTTATTTTTGGCCACCTGTGAGAGTGAATGCCATTTCAGGTATTGTGTTCTGTTTTTTTAATGATTATATGTTCACTGATTCTTAAATGATATCTGCATAAGTACTGTGATACTAAAAAGCCTGGAAAGGTTTCCACTGATGAAATGGCCACCATTTGGTTACAATATTCTAATCAGGTAATGTGAAAGTCTTATGTTAAAAAGTGTTTGGAGTCATTTATTCATGCAATGGAACCAACTTAATATCTTGATTAACAGGAAATGGATTTAATTGCTTGTAACCTAATTGAAGAAATGTGGGTAGGTTATTCCAAAGTGAAAAATCTACTTTGTATAACATGAAAAAATGGGTTGTATATACACTGCTCAAAAAAATAAAGGGAACACTTAAACAACACAATGTAACTCCAAGTCAATCACACTTCTGTGAAATCAAACTGTCCACTTAGGAAGCAACACTGATTGACAATACATTTCACATGCTGTTGTGCAAATGGAATAGACAACAGGTGGAAATTATAGGCAATTAGCAAGACACCCCCAATAAAGGACTGCTTTGCAGGTGGTGACCACAGACCACTTCTCAGTTTCTATGCTTCCTGGCTGATGTTTTGGTCACTTTTGAATGCTGGCGGTGCTTTCACTCTAGTGGTAGCATGAGACGGAGTCTACAACCCACACAAGTGGCTCAGGTAGTGCAGCTCATTGGATGTAGTCTATCACAGTGCCATCCGTTTTGTCTCCAAAGCCCCATATACTACCCACCACTGTGACCTGTACGCTCTTGTTGGCTGGTCCTCACTACATATTCGTCACCAAACCCACTGGCTCCAGGCCATCTATAAATCATTGCTAGGCAAATCCCCGCCTTATCTTAGCTAATTGGTCACCATAGCAACACCCACCCGTAGTATGCGCTCCAGCAGGTATATCTCACTGGTCATCCCCAAAGCCAACACCTCCTTTGGCCGCCATTCCTTCCAGTTCTCTGCTGCCAATGACTGGAACAAATTGCAAAAATCTCTGAAGCTGGAGACACTTATCTCCCTCACTACCTTTAAGCATCAGTTGTCAGGGCACCTTACCGATCACTGCACCTGTACACAGCCCATCTGAAATTAGCCCGCCCAACTACCTCATCCCTATATTGTTATTTATTTTGCTCATTTGTACCCCAGTATCTCTATTTGCACATCATCTCTTGCACATCTATCATTCCAGTGTTAATACTAATTGTAATTATTTTGCACTATAGCCTATTTATTGCCTTACCTCCATAACTTGCTACATTTGCACACCCTGTATATATATTTATTTCTGTTGTATTTTTGACTTTGTTTTGTTTTACCCCATATGTAACTCTTTGTTGTTGTTTTTATCGCACTGCTTTGCTTTATCTTGGCCAGGTCGCAGTTGTAAATGAGAACTTGTTCTCAACTGGTTTACCTGGTTAAATAAAGGTGAAATAAAAAAAATAAAAAATCCAGGATGGCACATCAATGCGAGCTGTGGCAAGAAGGTTTGCTGTGTCTGTCAGCGTAGTGTCCAGAGCATGGAGGCGCTACCAGGAGACAGGCCATTACATCAGGAGACGTGGAGGAGGCCGTAGGAGGGCAACAACCCAGCAGCAGGACTGCTACCTCCGCCTTTGTGCAAGGAGGAGCAGGAGGAGCACTGTCAGAGCCCTGCAAAATGACCTCCAGCAGGCCACAAATGTGCATGTGTCTGCTCAAACGGTCAGAAACAGACTCCATGAGGGTGGTATGAGGGCCCGACGTCCACAGGTGTGGGTTGTGCTTACAGCCCAACACCGTGCAGGACGTTTGGCATTTGCCAGAGAACACCAAGATTGGCAAATTCGCCACTGGCGCCCTGTGCTCTTCACAGATGAAAGCAGGTTCACACTGAGCACGTGACGTGACAAAGTCTGGAGACGCCGTGGAGAACGTTCTGCTGCCTGCAACATCCTCTAGCATGACCGGTTTGGCGGTGGTTCAGTCATGGTGTGGGGTGGCATTTCTTTGGGGGGCCGCACAGCCCTCCATGTGCTCGCCAGAGGTAGCCTGACTGCCATTAGGTACCGAGATGAGATCCTCAGACCCCTTGTGAGACCATATGCTGGTGCGGTTGGCCCTGGGTTCCTCCTAATGCAAGACAATGCTAGACCTCATGTGGCTGGAGTGTGTCAGCAGTTCCTGCAAGAGGAAGGCATTGATGCTATGGACTGGCCCGCCCGTTCCCCAGACCTGAATCCAATTGAGCACATCTGGGACATCATGTCTCGCTCCATCCACCAACGCCACGTTGCACCACAGACTGTCCAGGAGTTGGCGGATGCTTTAGTCCAGGTCTGGGAGGAGATCCCTCAGGAGACCATCCGCCACCTCATCAGGAGAATGCCCAGGCATTGTAGGGAGGTCATACAGGCACGTGGAGGCCACACACACTACTGAGCCTCATTTTGACTTGTTTTAAGGACATTACATCAAAGTTGGATCAGCCTGTAGTGTGGTTTTCCACTTTAATTTTGAGGGTGACTCCAAATCCAGACCTCCATGGGTTGATAAATTTGATTTTCATTGATATTTTTTGTGTGATTTTGTTGTCAGCACATTCAACTATGTAAAGAAAAAAGTATTTAATAAGATTATTTCATTCATTCAGATCTAGGATGTGTTATTTTAGTGTTCCCTTTATTTTTTTGAGCAGTGTATATTAGTTTGTATCTATGTTATTTTTTAGGTTTAACCAGAGGGCAAAAGTAAATTCAGTGTTGAAAAATATAGATAGGGCCAGCAGCACACCGCCCTGCATCCCACTGCTGGCTTGCCTCTGAAGCTAAGCAGGGTTGGTCCTGGATGGGAGACCATATGCTGCTGGAAGTGGTGTTGGAGGGCCAGTAGGATGCACTATTTCCTCTGGTCTAAGAAAAAATATCCCAGGGTGCTGTCTTTTGGATGGGAGGTTAAATGGGTGTCCTGACTCTCTATGGTCACTAAAGATCCCATGGCACTTATTGTCAGAGTAGGGGTGTTAACCCCAGTGTCCTGGCTAAATTCCCAATCTGGCCTTCATACCATCATGGCCACCTACCACCTAACCATCCCCAGCTTCCAATTTGCTCATGCATCTCCCCTGTAACTATTCCCCAGGTCGTTTCTGTAAATGAGAATGTCAACTTACCTGGTAAAATAAGGGTGAAATAAAATTGTTTTTATCTGAATGTTCTGAGAACTTGACTTTAAATAGAACCATCAGGAAATGTTTATGTTGAAGTTCTGAAATTCCCACAGAAGAACATTCCCAATGTCAAACCAGTTGGTGAACATTGCCAACATTTGAATTAAATGTAACTATGTTTTAACTTTTATGAAAAGTTATGTTAAAGTAATGAAATGACTTTACTTTTTTTTTTTTTTTCAAGTTCCTTAAACGTGCTGAGCCAAGCAACTATCGTGTACCGTTCCCAGAAAGTTGTGGGAAGGTTTTATGCCAAATAACCATAGGACAACCACTCTCTCACCAGGCTCTATGAAACATATGTTCTCAGAACGTTATGTGCTAGCTGGGAGGTCACTGCAAGTAAGAGAAAGACGCTGAACATGTGTGATGTCATGATGTCCAAGCAAGACTTTCAGATAGCCAATATATCTGAAAAGTCAAATTTCAGTAGTATTTTACAGATTTACAACTTGAAATATAGGTTTGGTAATAATCAAATATAACAGTTGGCATTGAATAATATATTTGATCTCAACAAATGTAGTTTTCTAAAATTGAGAAACCCTAACTCATTTATTGTTTTAGGTTTATTTAAAGAGTACATTTTTACATTGTACATGTTTTAAGTCCATTGCTAAAATTGAAGTCCTTGCTCTATCATGCACGCATACACTGCTCTTCTGTTGGCTACAACCACACTACCAGAACAGCTGGTAGAGAGTGGAGCCACAGTCAAAACGCTATTTAGAGCTCTGTGGTAATGACAAGGCTGTCTTCTCAGACTGGAGCAGAGTGCGCCATGTCAGACCTCTTTACTCTACCTCTTTGCTTTTACTCTCAGTTTGCCTAACTTCGTGCATAAAGAGGACTAAAAAATGGGTAAACAGGACTAAAATCCAAACCTGGTCTTCGTATTAATCGAATATATTTTGATCGATTGTATATAATATATTTCTTTCATAACCTCATGAAATTAGTTTACTTTCTATTTTGGATAAGTAAAAAAACAAATACTTTATTGAAGAATGACTTGGTTTTGGAACTAATATACTTTTTAAGGGTGTAGTCTTGAGGCTGGAACCTTGCATTTATTTTAAATGTAAAGTCTATGTCTGAAATGAATTACTCCTCCAAGTGAAGTGGACAGAACTAAACCATGGAGAATGTTACTTCAATTCCAGATAACCAGACACTTGGTCCATGGACTGATTATAGCATGGAATACAAAGTGGTCAGCATATTATTTGTGATCCTCATCTGTGGGATCGGAATAGTTGGAAACGTTATGGTGATACTAGTTGTTCTTACAACCAAACACATGCGGACACCCACCAACTGTTACCTGGTGAGTTTGGCGGTGGCCGACCTGATGGTTCTGACCGCGGCGGGACTTCCGAATATTACAGAGAGTTTGTATGGAGGAGGCTGGGTGTACGGATACGTCGGGTGCCTTAGCATAACTTATTTCCAGTACTTGGGCATCAACGCGTCTTCATGTTCCATCACCGCTTTCACCATTGAGCGGTACATAGCCATCTGCCACCCCATAAAAGCGCAGTTTATGTGCACTCTGTCAAGAGCAAAGAAAATCATAGTGGTCGTTTGGGCTTTTACCTCGCTCTACTGCGTCATGTGGATTTATCTCTCTGACATGAACGAGTTGATTTACGACAATATTACCATGTTCTCATGCGAATACAAAGTGTCCAGAAATCTTTACCTGCCAATCTACTTCACTGACTTTGCCGTGTTCTATGTGGTGCCCCTCGTGCTAGCCACTGTTCTGTATGGATTTATCGCTAGAATTCTTTTCCTCAACCCCTTGCCAGCAGACCCCAAGGAAAATACTAAAAAGTGGAAAAAAGAATCATGCCAAGGAAATAGGACGATGAGCACCAACAATTCATCATTTAGCACAACTGCCCGCTCTCGCAGGCAGGTAAGTAGCCACTCTACTGTTTTAAAGTTTGTTATCTTGTAACAGTGTATCTACAGCATAATAACTACAGTGTGTTTGTGTGTGTGTGTGTGTGTGTGTGTGTGTGTGTGTGTGCGCGCCTCGGGAATAAAGTGAGGAGAAACAAATTAATGATTAAAAAAACCTCCAGTATAATTAGATAATGAATTCAACAGTTTCATAATTGCACTGGTATGATATGGCGTGCACCTGGTGAAGTTGGGGTGTTCAATCCAAGCATATACTGTACACTCTTATAAAAATGGGACAACTGAATGAATAACCCTTTTAGGTTCTAGATAGCACCTTTTTTTCTAAAAGTGTATGGTAACATCCTAGAGAACACAGACGTCAAGTCAACGTCTATTCTACGTTGGTTCATGGTAATTTCATTGAAATGACGTGGAAACAACGTTGATTCAAACAGTGGGTAATCATTGTAAGTAGGTTACAGTGTGCAGCAGGAGCAAGTCAACATGCAACAAACCGTATTAATATAGACTCATAAAGCCTCACCACTATGCTGACAGCACACGTCACTGAATAATGTAGTTTGTAACACATATAGAGCCTACACTGCACCTGAGACTGAGCATGCGAATGGGAGGGGTGAGAGTTCATCTGATGAAAGGGAGAGCTCCCCTATAAAGAGTGGATTTTCAGGTATTGTGGTGCCAACATCATGTTATGGGAATGCTTGTCACCAGCGGGGACTGGAGACGGAGTACCGGCAAAATAAATATTGGGGTACGTGTACTCCATACCGGTTGAACATGAGCCAACACAATATTTAAAACAAAGATGCCAAGAAACCTGCTATTACACTATTATTTATCATTAATGCATGTCACCCTCATGACAAATTAGTGAACGGACTAGAAAACTTGTGGAATACGCTCCAAAATGTGATGTGGTTCGACGATGACAGTGACATTTTGTGAAGGCAGAGATGAGTGGCTGAGAACGAGACGCGCGTGGACGGTGAGCGCATCTTCAGGTTACAAGTGTAGGCCTAATGAATCACAATCACAGAATGTAATTCCTTACACTTTTTGGTGTTTTGTAATAGATGTCTTTAAGGAATACCTGGGATAGGATAAAGTAATCCTTCTACCCCCCCTTACCCCACCCCAAAGAAAGAAAAAAAACATATTGTAAAGTGGTTATCCCACTGGCTATAAGGTGAATGCACCAATTTGTAAGTCGCTCTGGATAAGAACGTCTGCTAAATGACGTAAATGTAAATGTAAATGTAAATGTCTCTTTCTATTCATAAAATGGCCGGTGCACAGTGCACTGTATGGATGTGGGAATTATTTTAGAGTGGACGAATGTGCGCAGGTAGCCAGGCTTACAGGAGCCCTTTGAAGTAATTGTTTGACAATCAGATGAAAACAATCATGACTGGTTATGTTAATGCCACATTAACCTCTAAAAGTCTAAGCCCAATGCAATGGCTTAGACTTGTAGAGGTTAATGTCGCATTAACATAACCAGTCATTATTTTTTCATCTGATTGTCAAACAATTGCCAAACTGTTGGGACACTACAGACGTTTCGAGAGAAGACCGATTTTCGGGATGTCTCATGGTCCGACAAACACCGCTGTAGCTCGGCCACCTTCCACCGCAGATGAGGAAGGTCGACATTGGAGGATTGAGATGCAGCCCATGCAAAAAAACGGACAGATTTTGATGGGGATTTTTTTTCTTCTGTTACTTAGATTAAAAGGTAATACATTTGAAAAGTTAAATGACACATTTTTACTATTAGGTCCACAGAGATCCTATTTAATGAATAGGGATTCTATATGTAATTATATCTGTAAGAAGTTAAATCTATAGTACTTTCACCCCTGATCAAAATGAAAGTAGCAAAGCCCAGGTAAAAAGTCAGAGGAAAACTGCCTCAGTCTTCAATTTTTTCAGTGGGACAATTACACACATTTAAATGCCAAAGACACACCAGAATGGCTTTCCAAGAGATGTTAAGTGTTCCTGAGTGGTCCAATCTCAGTCCTGAATGACATTTGCTTGAAAATCAGAGACAATGTTTGAATAGTGCTGTCCATCAATGACTGCCAACAAAATTTACTGAGTTTAAGCAATTTTAACAAAAACAATGATATACATGTATGTTGCCTGAAGAGTTGTGCGAAGTTGGTAGAATCTTATTCCAAGTTATTCACAGCTGTAATGGCTGCCAAAGGTGCTTCCACCAAGTATTAACTCTGGGGTGTGAAGACATACGCAATCAAGACATCTTCGTTTTTTTAGGTTACCTTGGTCACGCATCCTCAGCCTTGTCTGGACATGGACCAAGCCAGCCTTTCTGTCTCAGTGGCATAGACAATAAAGACATATGATGGATCTGTGCTCACTGCTAGGTCATTTAGCAAAACAAGTCAAGATAAGGCTCTGACATAACACACACGTCTCTAACTGGCCTTGCGTTGAATGGAAACCAGTGTAATCCATACCACTTACCAGGGCCTGATTGATTTACCTCAAAAGGTCAAAATTGAATAAGGAGAGCGATCAGGAATCTTCCCTCAACAATGATGATAGTTGCTCCCTGGCCTTATCCAATAAGAGACACATCACTGGTGTGAGACCTCACAATGGATGATGGCATCTAATTGCATTTGGAGTTTAATATAAACATTATCACATCATAATTATATTTGCAATTAAATTGCTCTCTAGGCGCTGTTGGTTTAGTTTTACAGATGCTGTTTTGTCAGTCTCTTCAGTCTGTGGTCGATATTAATTGTAAGAGGGTGCTCACCAACCCATTTCAACCACTTTTCTTTGCATAGCAGGAACATAACATTTTTCACACATTTTTTACAGGGGTCAAGCTGAAATCAATTTTTCCTTATGTCTTTTGATGAAAATGGCTCTTGATTTTCTTCCATGTGTTGTTGTCAGGTGACTAAGATGTTAGCTGTGGTGGTGGTGCTCTTTGCCCTCCTCTGGATGCCCTACCGGACGCTGGTGGTGGTCAACTCCTTCCTGGACAAGGCTTACCTGGACCTCTGGTTCCTGCTCTTCTGCCGCATCTGCATCTACCTGAACAGCGCTGTCAACCCTGTCATCTACAACGCCATGTCTCAGAAGTTTCGCACCTCCTTCAAGAAGCTGTGTCACTGCGGTCCGCAGCGAGTGGAGAAGCCAGCGTCCTACAGCGTGGCCCTGACCTACAGCGTCATCAAGGACACGACCAATGGAGAGAGCCCTGACCACTTCACTACTGAGATGGACGAGCTGACCACGCCCACACCCAGTGACCAGTTCCTGCCCAGCGCCAAGAGGATGTCATTCGAGGACCCCTCTCTGTCAGGCAGGGTTGCCCTTAGTAACTCCATGCAGGCAACAATGATTATCTGAAAGGATATTCTTATCCTTAAGCTCTAGTTTGTGAATTCAAAATGGTCTCCAGCAGCATACTTCTGAATCTATTCTATAACTCATTTTCTGCAGAGGAATTTATTTAATATTTGAGCGGTACAATGACAAACATTAAATACCAAAAATGTGTTGTTAATAGAAGAAGGAATGCTTCATTTCTTTATCTAGCATGGGGAAAATATATTCTCCCCTCTCTCTGTAGCCATCTTAGCACAAAGCACCCAATTATAGGCATTGTTCAAATCAGTCCTTAACATTGTGTGACATAAGCAGTTAATTTGCAAGGTAATAATCATACTACTTTCACATACTGAGCAACAGTTGCCATCTCTGTAAAGTGTTTTCCTACAAGAGAAATATAACAAGGGAAAGATGTTATCCCTCTTTTTATCTGGAAAGGTCTAGATCAGGTACTCAGTGTGTGCGTGTGTGTGTGTGCGTGTGTGCATGTACATGCGCGTGTGTGTGTTTAAAAGATAAGTTCACTCTACAGGAGGAGTCAAACCGTCTGGGCTAAGTTGTTTGATCCATCCTGCTACTTTGCATGTTTTAATAATAATATAATAATATGCCATTTAGCAGACGCTTTTATCCAAAGCGACTTACAGTCATGCGTGCATACATTTTTGTGTATGGGTGGTCCCGGGGATCGAACCCACTACCTTGGCGTTACAAGCGCCGTGCTCTACCAGCTGAGCTACAGAGGACCACACAGAGAATGTGCACTGACCACATTTCAAAGGCAGAATTCAAAGGAGGCAGAGTATCAAAACCATCTCTGCTCTAAGGGTGTAAATATCACACATTGCTTTCAATTGAAACCTGTCTGTCAGGGAAATAGAGATGTGGTGGGGAAGAAGTTACTTTAAAGGTTACAGATGATGAAAAGGACAGATAGCAAAGCAATGACACGCCGGATCTGTCATTTGTTTGATTGCTCAATGACATTTGAGTTCGTAGTAACCTTAATGGCTAAAAGGTTCACCCGATATGGAACGTTCCGCAGGGGTCTAGTGTAAAAAAATGCAGCATGGTTAAACATCATGTTGTTCTACCTGCAATGGACTACTGTGGTGTGGATTCAATCAAAAACTGTTGAAAGGTCCAGAGCCCATAGTGAGAAAGATCTTTGATGATTCAGACGCCTGGGTGGTTGATGGTTGTCTCTAGGTCAGGGGCCTGACATGACCAGACCAAACATTATGTTGACATCTGCAACAGCAGAGGCTGATGGTAGCATTTTGCCCTAATGGATCACCCCAAGCAAATCCCACAGAGCAAAGATTAGAGGATTCATCAATGCCAAAGTGTTGTACCTGGGAGATTTGAGGGAGGCTGGTGAGTCATGGTACAGCCATAAAGCATGGGCACAGTGTAAAAAAAAAAAACAGAAACAAAAAGCATAAAAGGAACAAGAATTGATTGAAGTTAAGAAAAAAATAGGCAGTTCATTGTTGTTTATTTATTTTATACTGATGAAACTCCGTCTATGTCCCTTTTTGGATGCTGTAAAAATGCTTGAAATTGATTGTGTGGTGCCATGTGAAATGAATGTTTTTCAATGTACGTTTCAGACCTGTTTTCAATTCATACTTATGTACCATTTAAATTGTGTCTGCCAGTAGAGCTGTTTTGTAATAACGTAGTTTGTTTTGTTCAGATTTATTGTTTGTTCCAATCAATGTATTTTACTATGGAGCGATTAATGTGGAGCTACACTCTTCTTCTTTGGTAACACTACAACTACAGTACGTTTCAAAGAATGTACCTGAAATAATGATCTTTCCCTCTTGCACTTTCATCTACTATCTCTGCTGTACAGTTTCCACCATAAAAGGGAGTGGTGCCTGGTAGCCAGTTTGCAGCATGGACACTGTAAAACGCATGATGTTGTGTTGTGATTTAAAAAAGAAATACATTTATGTACAGCATACAGTTTATCTTCAGTCAGCAATGTTGTGTAATCTGGTCTCTCTTGCTGGCAGTTCTCTGCATTGTAAAAACTGCTCTTGTGGTTTGGATGGTTTGTGTTTTGTATTGTTATTTGTCTATAATAAATTGATAATTGATCATGTAGTCCCGGGATTGATGTGTCATCATTTTAAATTAATCTCTGTATATTTTGGAGACACATCTTCACAGTATTTTCATCTATTCCATTAGGATGCAATCAAAACATATGGTTACTTTTGCAACTTCATCAAAAGTTAACATACTCACATAGTGATTTTATCCAGATGACTGCACAAATAAATATCATGAATTTTAACATGTATGGCAGTTAACAATATGGCAGTTTTCATCTGTGCTTATCACAGCACATTCAATTGGAATAATACATGGGATATTGGTGTGGAAAGCACCACTGAAAGCATCAGTTTAATTTAAAGGTCCACCCACGTTTCATTCAGTGCTCAAATGTATTGATCCATTCTCCACACACACCACATTCAATCATTGAGATCTGTGATGACAACTACATAGCAAATGATCCAAATGTTCTTCATAAATCATAAATTGAGATATATTGAGACATCAAATGGGATGACAATATTGACCACATCAATCTTTAAACAGGTCCCCTGATTCAGCACTATCCGGAGCACCTGGAATAATCTGTGCCCTTGTGAGCGATGCACTCCATTTTCGGATAGTTGGGACTCCCACTAGACCTGTCAATGTAATGGTATTGTAAAGTAAATAGCCTAGCTCAAGTAGACATGAGGTTTACCAGACACACATTTATTATTTTATTATCGTACAAAGGATTGTTATGGCAGCAAATTTGCATAAAAATGCTTGCAAATGCTTTGTCTACTAACTTAAAACGGCTTTGTTCTTTATAGAAGCTATAAAAGCAGCCAGCTCAGTAGTAACTAAAAAGATGAGAAAGAATGAATGAAGGTTGGGGTGAAAGGAAGGCAAGCAGAATACAGATAAATATAATAGCCATTGCTATATCGTTCAATCACTCTCTATTTCTATTTTTCTCTCTCACTCTTTATTTTTCTCTCTCTCAAACAAACGCATGCACTCATACACACACAGGCGACACACACACACACACACACACACACACACACACACACACACACACACACACACACACACACACACACACACACACACACACAAAGACTTTGGGAATGAATCTGTGCATAGCCTGTTAACAGCATAAACTGGTCCCAAGGACATTCCCATTGGTAAGGAGTTTGGGTATCCAGATGTTTCCCAATTATATTCTCCTCTGGGTTCAAGGTCACTCTCACACACCTGTCACCCTCTGATAAAGAGCTCTGTAAATAACCAGAAAAATACCTGAATGACAATTTTCTCAATTAAATTATATTATTTATACAGATATGCACAACATGGCCTTTTGCGAACAGTGTCTATTATAGGATTTATGATGAGAAGCCCTAAGAAAAATTTTTTTACACATTTTTGAATAAATAATCAAATAAACACAGTCTTCCAAGGGACACGCAGTCAGTCATTTTTTTCTAGCCAATTATTTTCAAAATTGCTTGTCAATCCACAAACACACTATCATATCCATATAATGTAGCTCTCTCTAATACACAAAGCAAAAAAATAAAAAAAATAAATAAAAACAAGCAAACATATGTCCCTTCAGCTCCTCTCACCCCTATCTCACCCTCTCCCTCCCTTTCGCCCAGGGAGGGTTGGACAAATGAAGCCAGTGAAGCTGTGGAGCATAACAAATTGACACTAACCTCAGCTAACATTTTATGTCCGTGGAGAGACACATTGATCTGGGCTAAAGCTCTGGGCCTCTGTGGGGTGAAAATGAGATGTTGAGCTGGACTGAAGTGGCTGAGAAGAAGAGGGAAGAGTAGAGAGAGGCTGAAGGAAGGAAGGACGAGTTACAGCACTAGGCTACTGGGCAGCATGGTTGATGAAATGGCCATGACTCTTTTTAGCCTCACTTATAACTGCATCTGTCCTCTGGCTGTGGGGTTGGAAATGCTGTGCACTTAAGTTTATTTTAGGATTTAGGATGAGGAGCTTCAGAGAAACTACGCGTCTCTGTCGAGTTACAATATGGTCAGCATTCACACACACAAACATACATGCACAGATAGCTGCCTAAATGGACACATTCAACTACTGTTTCACAGCAGTCTCTAGTGTAATGAAAAATTTTTTGGACTGTTTGTGTTGATCTAATGAAAATTCAATACATTTGCCCATTGTCTGTGGAATGATGTTCGAATTGAAAGGAATCAGACAGTGTTAAGTGTAATTCAAACAGGAAATACATTTGCAATCAATTTGAGTGGTTTATGTTGATGAGAATGTGAAGTTTCACAACATAAATCTGACACCAATTCTCTATAGAGCTCTGACAATACTACATGGGTTTAATAATAATACTAGAGCTATTGAGATTGTTGAGGTGCAGGTGTGAAACACTTTAAAGGGGCAGTGCATTCAAAAACATGATTTTCCTGTGTTTTATATATATTTCAACACAATAAGGTTGGAATATTACTGTGACATGTTTAGTGTAAGAGCTGTTTCAAAAGACCTGAAATTTCAGCTTGTTTTGCATGGGTGGGGTTTTGGACCACATGGCAACATCACCAGGTGGTATAAGTTAATAGACCAGTAACAAAGAGAGTTCTACGTCAATAACAGCTAGTTTTCTGGTTACAAATCCCTCCCATTAGGCTCCTCCAATTAGGCCCCTCACTCAGACCACTCCCAGACAGTCCTAGCAAAATAATTGCTTGAGAAATTGCTTTCTTTCTTTTTATTTCATTTTGACTGAAAACAATTACAGTATTTACATTTTACATTTACGTCATTTAGCAGACGCTCTTATCCAGAGCGACTTACAGTTAGTGAATACATATTTTTATATTTTAATTTTTTATACTGGCCCCCCGTGGGAATCGAACCCACAACGCTGGCGTTGCAAACACCATGCTCTATCAACTGAGCTACATCCCCTG